CTGGTTTGTACAGTATGTCTGTTTAAGCATGTGTGCACTTTGATATTGCATTATTTACCAGCTAATTCAACAAATCCCTACCTAAGCAATCATGTCAACTTCTCTCTGCTGTTCAAATCTATTCGGTAACACTTTAGACAAAGGTTTCATTTGTTAACATAAGTTAACTACATTAGTTCAAATGAATTTCACCAATTGCTAAGTGTAAGTGTAGATTCACTCACCTCTTAACTGACATATTCATTTCATATTGGCCAAGAATTAACACTGAGATTCTTCATTGCCTATACATCATATAGAAGCTGAGGAAAGGTATCTGTTTACTGCTGTTAAAATGGTTTCCATCTCAGACAATGTTATGCAATGGAGCAAAGTTGGAAAAAAAAGTGGGGTTTCCCTCAAAAAGCCCACACAATCAGCATAAGTGCTGTCATGCACAAGAGCCTTGAATTAATTAATTACAGATTCAATGGCTCATGTGTTTGAATGATGACCAATAGCAGCCCTGTTGGTATCAAGTGGCTATTTTTTTAACTGCAGGCAAGGCTGTAACCAAGGCACAGAATATAGATATTCAGATACTGTTTGCTCATTTCTGATTCAGTTCCCTCTCCTACTAACTAGCCCTTTGCACAATGGAGAGTCATTCAGCATGACCTTTTCTACCAAAACTAGCATATGACTGAATGCATTTACCATGAACCCTTGACTACAATATAACATATTTTATATGCTATATATGCCGTTTAAATGTGGTTAATTTGTCCTATATGTTTTTAAATTCATGACTGAATTATTTCTTTCTTCCTTCATGAACAATTCTTTCGGAATTGTTTCTTTAAAGAAACAACCTATATTATCTTTAGCGGAGTCCGCTGTTTCTATAGCCCTTAACACCATCATTTAAAGCAATTGTATGTATGCTTCACATTGAAATGTTAGTTTCAAAATCATTCAGATGATACACTGAGCGCGTTTACATGCAGGTTCTTAAGCGGATTATGCTTAATAAGCCAAAAACGCACTTGGTCATGTAACCGGTTTTCTTTTATCGGAGTAAGGTCATAAACGGCGTAAGCATAAACCGGTCGCAACAGGTAGTTTTTTGCCTCTTACTCCGATTTCGCATGGCATGGAAACGCTAAGCCGCTTTCTGTCGGCTTATTGAAGTGCGCATGTGTGATATGTGACAGGAACGCTTCGTTAGTGCAGATTTAAGCGCATCTAGACCGAGCAAACGTCTTG